TGAAGGTGTCTTACTAACTCATTTACTTGATTACCTCACTTCTCACTTGAGTTTGAAGGCAAGCCTCCTGAGAACACAGACTTTTTCTCTCTGCCTTAATTGCCTTTTATGAAAACTTTGGCTCTAGTCACTGTTGGAGCATGCTAGATATTAACTGAGTTTTCCTTTAAAAATATAAGTATATCTTTAATATCTTTTGTTTAATAAAGGATAGGTCTTATAAAATCTGTTAAACATTGATTATTTTTAATCTGCTATATTATATATAATAAAGAATTGTTAAATTATAATAATGCATTTGTTAAAAGAAAAGAAAGTTTAAAATAGATAACCCAAATAATTTGTATCCACATAATAAAAAATAGATGTTAACTATGTATAAACATAAAAATGTTCTGATTATACAAGATTGATTTACAAGAAAACTTAATTTTAATATATTGCATATGCACAAGTGTTAATGGCAAAAACTACTCAGGAGAATGTCTGTGTGATCAGAAAAACAAAATGAAATAGAATCTAAATATTTTAGTTTTTAAAACCTTAAAGGTTTTCTTGGACCCCTTTATCTTATTTCTGTGGTAACATCTTTGGTCCTGATCTGTTTAAAGTTAAATAAATCAGCCTATCAGCTTTCCTTTTTCTTCTACAACCTAAATCATTGCATCAATACAAGATGATATGAAACAATACAATCAATATGAAACATAATTAAGAACAGGTTAGAACTTTAGTAAATCTATGTTTTTGTCCTGTCTAGCAAGATGTGTTATTATACAAAAAGTATATTATATCAACACACCAGTTTTCCTTTGGTCTTCCATGGCCTTTCCTGTTGCTAGCATCATCTTCTACTCACAGTTGGGCCTTGTCAACGTCATTTTCTCTGTGATTCTAGGTTGCTTCTGGCTTCTTAGTGAAGGCATGGGGTATCATTTGGAAACTATAGCATGAATACTTGGACAAGGGCAATTTTTATTTCAGGAAACCAATAAAGACCATTCTTAGTGTAGATACATAATAAGTTTGATTTATCCTATCTACATGTAGAGTGCTTTTATTCTGCAAGCCCATGGAGCGATCTACTAACTCTTTATCAAATATGAAAGGTATAAGAAAATTGCTGACATTCTATCCCCAATGTACCCTAATGTTTGAAGGCTATTATAAATAGGATATAATAAATGTATCATAAGTATGCCTGAATATTTTTAAAATAATTAAAATACTAAAAGTGAGTTTTATTAATATAAGTATTTAATGAGCTGAATATAACAGAAAATAATAAATTTTGCCTGCACTGTCTTAGAGTTACAACCACTGTGATGAAACACCATGACCAGGGCAACTTATATAAAACAAAATAATTGTGGTTTCCTTAGAGTTTCAGAAGTTTAGATCCTTATCATCATGAAGGGAGCATGGCAGCATGAAGGCAGGTGCTGTAGCAGTAACTGAGAGCTACATCCTCATCCACAGGCAGACACAGAAAAGAATTCTGGAATTGACATGGCTTCTCAGACCTCAAAACCCGTGCCCAGTGATCACTTCCTCCAACAATTCCTTCATTTAATTCTTTAAAATAGTGTCACTCCCTGGTGATTAAGCATTCAAATGTATGAGCCTATGGAAGCCGTTCTTATTCATATCACCAGGTGTATACATCTATCTTAGTTAATGTTCTATTGCAGTGAAGAGATACCTTGATCAAACAAATTCTTATAAATTAAAGCATTTAATTGGGGGCTTGCTTACAGTTTCAGAAGGGGAGTCATCATCTTGGTGGAAGGCAGACAGGCATGGATCTGGAAAAGTAGCTGAGAGCTTTACATCCTGATCTACAGGAAGCAGTTGGAGAAAGAGACTCTAGACCTTTAATGGACTTTTGATACCCAAGGCCTATTCCCAGTGACATACCTTCTCCAGCACACACAGGCAGAGGCACATGCATGTTCACATGTACACGTGTGTGCGTGTGCACACACGTGCACACACACACCATTTAAAAAATAAAAAGAAAAGGAAGAAACAATGTATATGTTTGCTTTTCTTTATCCTTCACTCTTGTTAGTACATAAAGGTAATGAGCCACCTGAACATTTGAATGGCATCACCTTGTCTAATTTTCTTGTTCCTGTTGTATCCACATGTGTAGTGGCATACATATGTTTTACCTGTGGATACATTGGGAGTTAAGGCTTTCAACATACAGACTTTAGCAACAAGAAGAATATTTTACCTGATCTTTTGGATGGTTTTGGCTGCTTCTGGGGATTTGGTAGGATGCTAGAGAAATCCTAACTTACATTACTGAAAAAATAACATGTTCTCTCTCTCTCTCTCTCTCTCTCTCTCTCTCTCTCTCTCTCTCTCTCCCCCCCCCCACACTCTCTTTCTCTGTCACTGTCCTTTCAGGAATGTCCTCTATATTCACAAGAACCAAAGTATACAGTGTTTCATATTTTAATACACATATTTTGAAAGATGAAAATTTTTAAAACAATATTTGAAGAGTTGTATTTCTTTTCACTTAGAAGTGTAAATCTATGAGCTATAATGTTTAAAACCATTACATATTATTTGTTTTTATTATTAAATATCAGTTTGTGACACTTAAAAGAAATTACAATACAAAATTCCAGTGGTGTTTTAAATTAAGAGAGAAGTATATTAAAATTATCTGGAGAGTTATTCAGGTACAAGCAAAAAAGACAACAGTGATTCCTAACTTAGATGAAGATTATGGTCCACGAGAGCCTCTTTACCCATTAGAAATCAGTTATAGAGAAGGAAGAAAGGAAGGAAGGAAGGAAAGAAGGAAGGAGGGAGGGAGGGAAGGAGGGAGGGAGGAGAGGGAAGAAGGAGGGAATGGATGGAGGGAGGGAGGAAGGAAGGAGGGAAGGAGGGAAGGAGAAAGGAAGGTGGGAATGGAGGGAGGAAGGAAGGGAGGAAGGAAATAATTGTTTTATATTTGCTTAAATATTTTGGCTAAATGCAATTTTATTGTTTGGTATTCAATATTAAAATCTAAAAGTATAAGTGGCAAGTACATGAATAAATAAACAATTGCTGCAAAACAAAAACTATCTTATTTTTTTTTCTAACTGGCAAACACTGGCTGTCAAATGAAAATTCCTCAGCTATGCTAATTTGACTTTGATAAGAATGTCTTCAGTCTACATAATCACCATTTCTGCAACACTTTCAAAATCTCCCTGCCAGTGATGGCCATTTCTCCTGTACCATCGAGAATTTCATGTCGTACTTAGAATAAAAAGATGTTCACTATTAACAATCAAATACTTCTCCTCATCTTGCCATTTTCTATAATTGAGTAAATAATTAAATCATTTCTTCTGTCCTTTTCCTCCCTCCCCACGTCCTGTGTTTAAATCCCCTTTCTGTATCCATACCTTCCCCAGCTTTAACCATTATTGTTAAATATAAATACAAAGGAATAAACATACACATGGAACCCGCTGGTTCCACTCAGTGCTGCCTGCATGTACATGTTTCTAGGGCTGATCATTTGGTATGGACAGAGGGCTCATCCCTGATAAAGATTCTCAGCAATTGTTGATCACCTGTAGCTCTTTATCTAGGTGTGACACTGTTGATATGTTATGCATCTACAGTAGAATGTCAACTTTTATTGGAATTATTCAGGTCTTGTTTAGGCAGCCATGTTGCTGAGCTATCATGGATATACCTTCTTGTAACATACAGAGGACACTCACTAGTTCACAGCAGATTTTATGCCTCCTACAACCTCTCTGCCTCTCTTCAGTAGTGTACCCTGAGCCTTATCTGCAGGAGTGGTGTTGTAGATATTTCAGCTCGGGCTTTTATCCAGCTGCAAGCCAACTACACTTTAGGTTCTCTTAGTAGCTGTCACCCTCTGAATTGTAATGACTTCCTCCTCAGACTATGTCTGGGAAACATCTGTGGAGAAGTATCTTTTCTCTGGGTTTCTAGCTTCATGCTCGTATAGTTGGAGTGCTCAGAAATCACCTTAGAATAAATAAGTAAAACTGCATGAATGTGTGAATAAAATCATGCTGAGTAGAGAAGGAAAGTGTGTCTACTGCTACCTTCTTGGACCAACATGGTTCCTGGTCCCACTGGTAAGCGGGGTAGCTCACTTGCTCTTATGTTGACTAGTTGTGGCTTTCTGTAATGATGTCCTGCTGTTGCAAAATAAAGCTTCCTTGATAAAGGGTGAGGTCCACCCTGGTTCAGTGAGTGAAAGTTACTAAAGAAGCTAAAGACTATTCAAGAGCAACTTGCACAGAGGCTTGCAGCTGACATTCTGTTCCCACACCCTAAGAAAAGCTAGCTGCTTCTGATCATTGACAATCACTGTTTCCTTAAACTGGATTAAGTGTACACTCTTTGAAAGCTACACCTTTGATAACATCTGTTAATAACTTCAATATAACATCAAATGATTTCTCCTCAATTACTCAGTAACTTCAAAATCTCATTTTAATGAAATAGCACAAAAATCATCTACTTCCTCATCTTCTTCTTAAAGAATTTAATCAGCATGAGACAGGTCAATGGCAACAGCTTTCCTCCTATTATATTTTCAAAGGGTCTTAACACATCTAGATGGTCTTCATTTTTGAAGTCTCCTTTTTTTCTTATAGTGTAACACATAACCTTGAACTCAACTTATGGTAAAAGAGAAAGTGTTATTTTGGCACATTAATCATGAGCATTCTAGAAGATTTAATTTAAAAAGTTCACAGTAGTGGTTTATCTCAAAGCATAAATTCCTAATCAATCAAAGTAAATAATTGTATAGACTCAAGTATTATCATGAAATGTTGCCATGGGTAACTAAAGCAAACCTCAATTAAATATACTCATCACTCAAAGTAGAATATGTATACTAAATATAAATATAAATGTATGTATATATATTATTTATACACATACATGGTTCACAAAAAATATAAATTACTTTGTTTTAAATTGTCTTGTTTTCTTGCAAACAGTGGCAGCAAGTTGGCTACTTCAAGTGGTGACAGCACAATTAAACTATGGGACCTCTCGAAAGCTGAATGCATCTTGACATTTGAAGGACACAACCACGCCATATGGTCCTGCTCATGGCACTCTTGTGGTGATTTTGTGGCTTCTGCCTCACTGGATATGACGAGTAAAATCTGGGATGTCAATAGGTAAGAAGTATTTTAAACATCATCCATTTAAACTGCTAGACGTTTGTAGGAATAGAGTCTGTTCTCAATGTTGCCACTGGGAAACATTACAAGAAGCTGTTTGTTGCTAAGATTACAGAGAGTGACGTAAATAATTTTTATGAAATCTATTTCTAACTCTATTGATCTTTGTTGATACAACAATTCCTTTCTGAGTGTCAAGAACAAGACCAAGCCTGCTAAGAGATTAGAGTTTCGTCAACTGAAAGCTGTTTATAAAGAACTGATGGAAACAAATGGTTATTTTAAGCAGAATTTTTGCTCTACTTTGCACAAGGTTGCTGTATCTTTTAGTTTGGTTGTCATGAATATGATGGAATTAGCTTATGTTCAGTTTTTGTTGATACCTTATAATGTTTTCCCAAACCAATAATTTTTAATAATTCTCAAACTGTACAAAATTATAGATATGGAAGTTTTATATTTATCTTAATTCAAAGCAGACATGTTTCATTTACAATATCAGTAATCATAATCTGATTTAATAGACAAGAAAGATGCAGAAGATGTAAATTAGGCAATCATCAAATATCTTAATTGTTTCAGGTTAAAGGTTATATGTCAGAATTTGAGCCTCATTTGATGTTGAAATGATGCCTAGGTCTCAAATTTTGGATGATGCCTCTTGGAATGTTTTGCAAACTATTGTCTCATGCCCAGTATAACTTATTTTAAAAGAGAATAAAGTAGTAATTGCAAGGACTGTGACTTAGAGTCTCACACACACTAGTTCTTTTAAACAACTGTCCTTTCCCCTCCCTGAGTTATAAGTGACATTTTAAGATTAGAGGGCAATTAGGTGCTTGTGACCATTCAGTCAAAAGTTATCTTAAGTTCCACATGTAAATGATTTCCTTATGCAACAGTTCTAAGCTCCTCTGTCTCCCCATGCATATACTTTGTTTCCTTGAGACTGCAGCTGGGCTAGGTAAACTTCACTATGGCTTTGCTGTCTAACTTCTGTAGCTCTGCAAATAGTTGGCACATGCAACAGTCTGGGTATGGCAGGGCCCTTCCTTCTTGCTATGTCTTTCCAATGAGCATCTTGTAGACTTCCCATTGTCCCACTAACTTTATCTCAACAACAGTACTGTTCTCAGCAACAGAATCCAGTGACAGCTTTCTTTCTACAGAAGCAACCACCCTGGAGCACCATTTAGGGAGAGAAAATTCAGCTTGCAAGTACCTCTTCTCCTGGGTCTGTTCCCCATCTCTTTCAGACTATAGCCTTTAGGCAAAGAAACCCCATCACCAGCACAGATTTGCTGTCTTCTGTAGTTTGGGGCTTTTATTGTTTGGTGTGTGCGTGTGTGTGTGTTCGGTTTTGAAGATCAAAGATTTTGTGAATGCTAGGCAGTTGAGCATTTGTAATTTCTACCTTATTTCCTTTGTTATTTTAGTGTTGGAGTTTGTAGGTCTGTCCTGATGGAGCTTTGTCTGTTCCTTACTACTCTTCTCTTATTAGTTAGGAAACAACTTACACAGTTGACAGTCCTGTCTGCTAAGCTTTGATCTCTAAAGTAACAGGAACAGCTTCTGGCCATTAGTAGACTCTTGACAGAGTCAAACATAGGCAGATGAATAACATAATCTATCTGGGTTGTAGACGAACAACTGACTGAACTTTGCATATCCTGTGTGAGAAAACATGGCTGTGAGTAATATATTTTTACCTAATTCTACCTAAAACAGGGACAATTGTTTTGATTCTTAGCTGGGAATCATTTTATTTATGATAATCAGTTGTAGGTAAAAATTTCTAATTCTAATATGTTTCAATATCATATGGTCAAATTTCATAAATATTTTTAATACTGAGTATCTGGAATTTAAGCACAATTATCTAATTTTAATTTCAAATTTATTAACCATTTAGAACATGTAAACCTAACCACTATCAGATTAGAAGCTGATTCCCAATAAAACTTACCCCCCTCCCCTTTAGAATGATTTTAAACACTGTGACTTGGCAACTTTCCTCTTGACTCTGTCATATTGTCACCTCATTGATGCTCAGTGGATACTGACATAGCAGATCAAAGTTACTCTTGATTAATGCCAAAATTGTTGTAAATTTAAAATTTCCATCAATATCCAGACCTCAATCAAATTCATCAGCAATGACAGAAACTGATACTGATTTTGAAGCTCCAGTGCCACACACAGGAACAAAAAGGGAGATATTGATTACTTCTGAGTGGTTGTTGATATATCTTTTAGAGTTATAATCAAAACATGAAATTCTAATTTGTAGTTACCCAAGAATGTATCTAAACCACAGGAGTTTTGCTTTAAAATATCACAGGTTACTTGAAATGGCTCAGAGACTTAAGGGGAGAGGGTGTTTATCTTGGTCATTTGGGGAAGGATAGAAGTTGTGTCATGTTGTATGGCTTCCTCTTCTCTAGATGCCACATAGTTCTTAAGAACAGAGTACTTTGAACTGATTCATGTCGTCGTCATCATCATCATCATCATCGTTATCATCCACTTGTCTGTTTCACAAAATGTTAGGTCACTATGGAGCATAACCTAGACACAATTCTGGATAAAGCTACATGTGTGCTGAACAACGAGACTTCCTGAACACTATATAAGGCACTACTCAGTCTGTGTAAGGCCTCACACTTTGGAGGTTCTCTAGCATATTTTGAAGGTCTTCTCAAGGACCATACTCATGAGCTGACAGATGTGTGTGTTTCTGTTAGAAGTCATTATTTACTACTTCAGTTTTAAAAATAGGCCCTTTAAGGTCAGTCACTAAGCATTTTTCACATTGGAAACACATGCACACATATACATATACACATGCATACATGCATGTGCACACATATCCTCACACAAACATACACACACACACACACAAACAAACACACTCAGGCACATAGCTACAGGCTCACACGCACACACACACATGCACACATGTACATATATGCCTATGTGTGCACACATACATACACAATACATTTTGAACACAGAGTCCTTGGCATGTGATTGTTTACTTGTGTGAATGAGCAAAGAGTTGATCTGCAAGTGCCTGTGAAGAGTATTGAATAGGATTTCTTCCTTCCGTATTCATATTCAAGCTGTGTGACAAGTTGCTGTCTTATCCTATATGAATCTAGAAAATGATTAAAATTAGGTAGGACTATTAAAAATGATCTCAGTCTGCTGTAAAAAATAATTTATGTTTCTTTTTCTAGGCATTCATACACAAAACCAGTGAGTAAGTGTTCATGAGATGAGTTCACGTGTAGGGCCATTTAATAGACATAAGAAGAATTTCAGAATCAATCACTGCCCTCAATGAGATTATAAATAATTTAAAGATGTGGCAATTTTGAAGCAATCATAGAATTTTCATTGCATCTGCTGTCTATAATATCACATCAGGTATTCTGGGAGACTCCTGGCCATTTGTCTTCCAAGGTAACTGTACTTGGCTAAGCAGCTTCATCACATTGGCACTTTGGTATTTGGAAGGCAGACCATGTGCCTGCACCACTTGTAACTGGAAGGAAAGGGGTTGAAAACAGCCAACATGTTGCTGCTTCAGCTGCTTCAATGAGACAGCACAAGAGCAAGAATTTAGCAGTAGGTATCAAGGACTGGCAGAAACATTGGGACTTGTAAAATTCAACAGTTTCTCCCTCCCAAATGATGGGAAATAATTGCAACGTCCTTAATTCTCTGTGTGTTGTTTCAGATGCCCTTCAAATTATGTGGAGAAGGAATAACAGCAAGTTTAAGAACCATGTTGAATTTGTGGTTTTCACTCTATTTTGTTACTTAGAATCAAATTCATGAGAAACCTGGGTTTGTGGAAGAATCACACTGACAAAGAAACCATGAGCCAACAGGTAGTAACTCATCCACTGGTAAAACAGTTCAGAAAGCCTCATTTGTGCATCCAAAGGAAATGAAGTTCCAGTGTCACCTAGTCACAAAGAAGAGGTGTATAGAGAACCCACTTCAGGTAAAGCTGTCAAGTCAAGAATAGTTGACAAAGAAGAGCCTGCTATAAAACAATGTCAGAAGCCACATTAGAAAAACTCAAGCCAAAGCCAACCCAGAAAATCAAGCAAACCAGTGAGAGAAGCTCTCCCTCTTGTGAACATGCCATGCTTCACTCGTGAAACTTTCTTTAGTACCTTGGAGAAGTGCCTTGATTTGCTTGATTAGATGCTAAAGCAATTCACAAAATGGGCAGTTTTGGTTTCCCACTTTCTTTTTCTTTGTTGCCATTTGTATAGCTGTTATTCTTTCCTTGTTCCATCATCATACCTGATGTTTGTGGAAGTAGGCAGCAGAAAGCTTTGCTTTACCTAGTTAGTTGGTCAGCAACAGCTTGAGCACTGTCCAGAGAACATGGACTATGGAATATGAGCAGTGGCTGACTGGGATTGTGGGTTGTTTCTCTTTATAGATTGGGAAAACATCAACAAACACTTTATAGGTGGAGGAAGATTCATCTCAGTTCTTTGGTGGGCAGAAAGCTGTATGTGAGGCATCAGTTTTCTTTAGTTTTATGCATATGTACATAGAGTTAACTATCTATATGTCTACCAGATACAAGCATGTGCCTGCAGATGCTGTCAGATCTTTTAGAACTGCAATCACTGGCGGCAATTATGAGCCTTCTGATATAGACAATGAGAACCAAACTCTGGTTCTTTACAAGAGCAGCAAGTACTATTAAGTACTGAGCCATCTCCTCATCTTTCCAGGATTATTATTTGTGTATATATCCAAAAAAAATGCAATAAAGCCCTTACCTAATCTATTATTCTAATCACTAGAATAGCGTGATTGTTTGAGTAACAATAGGCTCCACAGGCTCATATATTTGAATGCTTAGGTCACCAAGAAGTGTAACTGTTTGAGAAGGATTAGAAGTGTGGCCTTGTTGGAGAGAGAGTGCCACTAGGAGTGAACTCAGGTTTTAAAAGCCAGTGCCAGAC